AAAATTGACTTTTACATAAAAATCCGAAATGGGTCATTTGACGCAACTATTTTGGAAATTCTCCCCTCAAGATAGTGACATTTATGTCAATTTTGCACTTACTATCTATAGCCCATTTGGCCAGATAGTCTTCTTCCTTTTCTACTTGAACCAGATACAGTTGAAAAGAATTCTTAAGAAGCAGGTAAATCGTTCGTTCATGGCGTAAACTCTTGTCAAAAAATTCATGGCTTAGTGTAAAGAGAGACTCTCTGTAAGAACGAGCAATTTGGATTGCTTAATCAATGGTTTTTTTCCTCCATAGAAATCATTCCAAATCTCGCTCAATCTCAACCCTTTTAAAGAGTGGTTTCACTCCAACTCTCAAAGACTTCAACAATTTCCTTCTCTTCCTCACTAGAAATCAAAGATTCAGTGCCATTATTCACTTCTTTTCTCAGCTTACCTCTAATAAAATCGAAGGTGACTCCCAAACACACACAATCTTCACCAAAGCTCTAATAAACGAGCACAAATATGAAGCTGCTGCAGATTTCTTGAGAACCCACTTGGAGAAATCAAAGCTTTTTGATAAAGATCGAATCTTTGATTCTATAATCCAAGGCGTTTGCATAACTAACAAAGAACCTGAAAAGGGTCTTTCTCTATTGACGAAATTTTTGAAAATGGATGGTGGTATTTTTCCTTCTTCTTATACTTTTTGTTCATTAATTTATTCGTTTAGTTCTATAGGGAAATTAGATAGAGTGGTAGAAGCGTTAGAGTTGATGTCTGATGAGAAACTCAAGTACCCTTTTGATAATTTTGTTTCCAGTTCTGTGATTTCTGGATTTGTCAGGATTGGGAAGCCTGAACTTGCAGTTGGGTTTTTTGAGAATGCAGTAAAGTCAGGTTCTCTGAAGCCTAATGTTGTTACTTGTACAGCTCTAATGGGTGCTTATTGTAAACTAAGTAGAACTGATGATGTTTTAAATTTAGTTACTTGGATGAAAAATAATGGGTTGGCATTTGATGTTGTATTTTATAGCAATTGGATATACGGGTATTTGAGCGAAGGAATAGTTTGTGAGGCATTTCGAAAATATAGAGAAATGGTAGATAGGAAATTGGAGTTGGATGCTATTAGTTATACTATACTTATAGACGGGTTTGCGAAGGATGGAAATGTGGAAAAAGCTATTGGATTTTTGTACAAGATGAGGAAGGACGGAGTGGAACCGAATTTAGTTACTTACACCGCGATTATTATGGGATTCTGCAAGAAGGGGAAATTACAGGAGGCATTTGCAATGTTTAGAATGATTGA